AGATGTTAACTGATGGACTGGAGTGGTGTGGATTACTTGTGGATTATTGTGATGTTTTTATCAGCTGTTTGGACTCTCATTCTGACGGCACCCATTCACTGCAGAGCATCCATTGCTGAGACACTGATGCAATGCTACATTTCTCCAAATCTGATGAAGACACAAACACATTTTACAAGAAAAACACTTGACAAAAGACATTTGCAGTGATAAAACAACAGTTCTAGTGTTGAAAACGAAGATAAGATCATATTAAGTGATCAAACCGCGTTTGTTTTCAGGAGACGGGGCCCACAATGGTCGGTGACGAATATTCAGATCTATCCATCATGAACTACCTCGGAGCCCGGAAAACAACCATGCTGGGAAACAACTTGTAAGTGTTTGGTAGTTATTTCTCAGACAAATAAGTTAAAGTTAAGTCGACACATTAGCTTCCTGTTTTGCTGATTTGCCAAAAATGCCTAATATGATGCTGAGTTCAAAATTACCAATAAAATATTTCCATCACACTGTTTTTTTCACAAAATAAATCATTTTAAATTGTATATATGCATCAGCTTTCATGCACTTATCAAAATAATACTAGCAGCAAAATTACAGGTTTCTGTCTGAACTATTCAAAGTGCATCATTTAACTTTTAATCTGCAAAGAACTGGAAAAATATGTTTATACATAACTTTACAAATAAGCTTTTTCACAGTTTGGAACAGATGAAGCAGAACACATCAGGCTCACGTTTGCATTTTCTTCCGTCATTAGCCATAATTCTAACCTTGAAATCAGGATTTGTCATCAAATAATGTCATGCATGTGAAAATGGGCTGAGAATTGATCTATGAGTTGTAATCTGGCTCAGATTCGGACAGGAGTTTTTCTGATGATTAAAGGTTAATACAAGACTTCTTCACCAGAGAAATGATTCTCAAAAGCAGAAATGCTACAAAATGCAAATGCATTTGACTACTTTTAGACCGTTGAACAAAAACACTCGCCCATGCCATTATAAAGCTTGGAAGAGCAAGGACATTTTTTAATATAACTCTGACTGGATTCGTCTGAAAGAAGAAAGTCATACACACCTAGGATGCCTTGAGGGTGAGTAAAACATGGGCTAATTTTCATTTCTGGGTGAACTAACCCTTTAACATCTAGCGCAGTTTCATCATAGGCAGGATGCAAAAAGCTTTAACCCACGGCAGCAGTTTAAAAGCAGCTCAATTCCGTGAAAAAACGCAGACTTGGCAACCCTGCATCCAACACGAGCTGCAGGAGTCAGATTTCACTGATCGCAGAGATGACAGACAAGATGCTGGAGGATTTGCTGCTCAACAGATCCTGAGCTCACTGACAAATATCTGATCTTGTAAGATGTGCTCCTTTACACAGAGTGCATTCGTGATCGCGAAATCACAAGTGAAAGTGAACAGCGAGCGCACATTCAAAAGCCATTTCAATACCCAGCATCCAGTGTACCGGTGTAAACATTATAGTCTATAGCTCAGATATATGGAGTCAATTCAGGGCCAAATATATTTGCTAAAAAATTGAAGTATTGCAAAAAAAATAAAGTTTTGCAAAGGAAAATAAAAAAAATTAAACAGAGCAAAAGCAATGATTTCGCAACACATATTTTCCATGGCCATATCTTCTAATTTATTTGCAACGCTGCTTTTATTTTGTGTTTCAGTCAAGTGTGAGCTCGCGCAAAGGGAAAAAAATGGTATTGCGAGCTCACACTTGATCAAAATGCAAAATAAAAGCACCGTTGCAAATAAATTAGAAGATATGGCCATGGAAAATATGTGTTGCGGAATCATTGCTTTTGCTCTGTTTCATTTATATCTTACAGTTCTTTATTTTGGTTTGCAAAACTTTTTTTCTTTTCTTGCAATACTTAATTTTCTTTTGCAATTCTTTATTTTTGTTTGCAAAAAGCACATTTATTTTTTTCTTCAGAATTCTTTTGCAAATATATTCGGCCCTGAATCGACTCCATATAGATAGCTTACCTTTAACTAAATCGTTTGTGATAATTGTGTGTCTCACAGCTCAGAGTATCATGTGGATGAACCGCCGAGACTGGTCTTGGACAAACTGGATAAGATGGGGTTCAGAGTGGTCAGCATGACGGGAGTCGGTCAGACGCTGGTCTGGTGTCTCCATAAAGAGACGAGCGACGCGCTGTGACTCAGTGGCTCTTGTATTGCAGGTAAACATGGTACATGAGGTGAAGAAGGGTATTCTAATGTCAGCAGCAGGCCTAGTGAAGAGACCTCAGAAACTCTTATTAAACAAACGAAGTGACGTGTGAGATGAATTTACAGACTATTAAAATCTCAAAACGTGTAGTATTTGAAATCTGTCTCAATTAGCAATATTATCATCAATGTGCTTTCTCTGATTTATGATTTCTGGATTTAGCTTTTTTTTTTAACACTTTTATATGTCAGGAAAGTAGGTTTTGTTTTGTGATTGTAGTAATATAAATGAGAAACATTATTATTCTGTTATGTTGCATCTGTAGCATTTCTATATCTCGACTTGACGTTATTTTGAATAAATGCTTTGCAATGAAACATTCGTTTTTAAAATCCCGTTGTAGCTCAAAATCAGTCACATTCTTTGTTATACAGTTTTGAACAGTCTCAAATTTGTTTACAGTGTATGTAAACATATATTTTGTCTGTACTGAATCCTGACATATTAATATTGTTTCTGTATGCTTGTGTGAGAAGCTGTAATTAACAATAAAGTAAAATAAAGTATGATCTGTTCAAAAGGGTTTAAAAGTGCTGCATGTTTGTGATTCAAAGCTGCAAACATTCAAGCCTAATCTGATCGTATAGCATTTTGCTATACAGTGTTATAGAAGTGTTATTTTAGTATAATTGAGATAGTTATAGTTTTTATTAATATTTTGAATCAGTTTTTATTTTTGTTTTGCATTTTAAGTTTAGTCATTTTGTTTAGTGTTTTTGTCATTTTTAGTAGTTATTGGTTTTTAATGTGTCTATATAATTTTTATTAACTTCTATATCAATTTTAGTTTATGTTGTCCTTTTATTTTAATTTTATTATAATTTTATACTTTTTTGTTTTTGTCATTTAGTACTTGTTTTTGTTTTAAATATGTCTATATAGTTTTTATTCATTTTTATTTCAGGTTTATTTTAGTACATCAAGTTAAACTAAATAAAAATGATAAATGTTGCCTTGGCAACTAGCT